AGTAGCGCACACGAATATAAACTAACATAAAAAGCGAGAAAAAACGTGGTGGTGATGTCCGAGTTAATCTTGTCATTAGACTACTAAGTTAATTAAAAGACAACTAAAAAGAAAAATATTTTTTGTTTGAAGAACGACCGACACAAGAGGTTAAAAATAATTTAAAATATGCTAACATGAGATTATACGCGAAAAATGGTAAAAAACAAAAGAAGAAACTTACATGACTGTCAAGATTGAACTGTTTTTATAAGGTTACTGTTTTGTTGCACATGTTCCATTAAACTGTTCCATTTACTATGTAATACAAAGTGTGAATTAATTAAAAAGTTAATATAAATAACAATAAAAATCTAATTTTAATTCACTTACATGAAACAAAATTTTAAAATATTAGACACGACATAACTGTTTAGTAGACAGATGTAAAATGAAAATTGAGAGAAACAGTGGACAACAGAACATGTACTTACACAGACAATAAGTGAAAAAAATATAAATAATAAATTACAAAATATAAACGATATAGATTGGAAGCATTACGTCTCTGAAAATAGATCAATGTATAACGTATCAAGAGAAAGTGTTTGTAAATTCAGACCTTGTTTTTGTTTTTTAATATGTATCATCTCTGATAACAATCTTTTATGTAGAATTTGCTCTTTGTCTAAAATATGTATGTTGTCCCAATTAAAATCATGAAATAAGTCCATCCGACGTTATGTGATAACCGAATGTTGGATCGAGTTTCTATTAATATGATTTCTTCTTACTTATGCGCGTTTTTCTGCTTGTCTGTCCAACATACGACGCATCACAATCTTTACAATCAATCTTATATACTGCATTAGATTGAGAAGATTTTATATCACTACGTAAAAGTTATATATTTAGAATAATTGAAGGAATCATACTGTTTGAAAAAACATACAATTCCATTTAAAAAGTAGAGGGGACCTTGAAATCTCAAGAAATATGACCTTGAGAAAAATTTTTTGTTCATTATAATATATGCCTCTTCAAATCGGACAACTTTCTCCTTTAGTATTTTCTCATATCATTAAAAATAACGGAGATATTTTAGATGAGAAGTTAAAGGAAACATTTTGTATATAACAGCACTAAAATAGAAATATCGTAACCCAATAATTTTTTAGATATTTTGTACTTTATTCTGACATATTGATATAGGGTGTTAAATATCTCACGTAAAATGTTTTAATTTTCTTATAATTATACTTTATTAGTGGAACAATTTTTTTACAATTAATTCTTTTATTAATCGAATAATGAGATGAATCAATTAGTGTAAAAAAAATACACAGTTGTTTATTTAAAGAATTATCCATTATGCCTTCATATCGTTTTATACAGCTATGTGATTTTTTTACACCAATTGATTTTTCTTATTGTTCTGTTCACAAAAGTGTTAAGCTACGAGATTATACAAAACTTACAATAATAGCTTAGGAAATATATAATATTTTGTGTATCAAAATAAGGTATAGAATTTTTTATGAACTTCACTTTTTTATTATCTTTATCTTAATACTTTTATATGAGTAATAAATGGAAAAATGGCATATTATGTAAAAGAAATTATATATTTCTATTTATAAAGATAGAGATAGTTTTTATATTTTTTTAGCGTCTCTCTCCAATCCAGAAAAAAAATATTGTCACCAAAATATGTCTCCCTCAAAACCGTTCCACTTTCATTTGAAACATTTTTTCGTATCATTAATAGTTTCGGAAAAAATTGACTGTATTTATTAAAATGGACTACTCTGTATAATTTGCGGAACATCCTGTATATTAATAATATACAGAGTAGTCCATATAATTTATGTGTGTGTGTGTGTGTGTGTGTGTGTGTGTGTGTGTGTGTGTGTGTGTGTGTGTATGTGTGTGTTCCTCGAATCATCACTTTATATGAGTTTCAATTCTTTTTTACGTATTTTGACAGTTACTGTTTTTATATATGCATGTCCCTATGCATATTTCCTACAGTTATGTTTGTTTATGTTTATCTCACTGCTTTAAATGTTGACGATGAATTTGTGGATTATGTTGTAAATATTAATTGAATTATCTCAAGATTATATAATTAATGATATATAATACTATATTTATAAATTCGCTTTTATATACTTGTATTATAAGGGGATGGAAAAAAATATATAATTCAGTTTAAAGAACATAACTTATTCAAAACATTTTGTTGTCAGTCCATTAAAATATCCAAAAAATTTACGAGACACTCCGTATACATATTATATAATATATATAAGACATTAATTAAATTAATTACGGCAGGTCTTAATATTAATACTGTATTTTAGATATACTTTTAGAATACTCATATTTATAGTCGAGTTTTATATTTCAAACTGTAGTATACTTCAAATTTAAGTATTGTCTTAAGTTGTCATGACTCAAAGAGCCCCATTAGCATTTTAAGACATTACATACAACGTATGAATACACTTCATATTTTCTGGTACATATTAACAGTGTATGAATACCGGTCTTAGAATATGTATGTATCAGGTTATAAATATACTCAATAATAGCTTGAGTTTAGTCATTCTGCCAGTAATCGATGCGGATGACTTAACTGCTTACTTATCTTGGAGCTACCAACGTTTCAGAGCGTTGAAAATGAACGTGTCTGTATCGACGCCAAAAATATTTTCTTGAGTCCTGTAATCAAAACTCAACGTGACTCCCATGCAAATTTACTCGCGTACATATTATGCACATTAACGTACGTATACGATAGCTGTCGTAGCTATGTTGTAGATATTTTTAAGTATTGCATCAATGCCACACAATATTGCTACACCACGGAACAACGAAACTGTTATGCAAGATGTTATATGAGTCTCCTTCTCTCTCTGCTTTTTCGCGATGTGAATCAGATGCGCATAATATGTAATATAATAGTATCTCTTCACACAATGATTATTTCTCTATATTATCATTCGCCGCAATATGAAGGCCAAAATGAGGAAATATTCTTATGGGAGCTGTCATAATAAATTTACACAGAATGAATCGCATACAACGCGCAAACGTGATTCTAAGTGTGTTCGATTAATACTGTAAGAGTTTTTTGCGATTTAGAGTTGCGAATTTGGTGAACATAGGTTGTATACATATAGAATGTTTTAAAACTACTATATATTCTTAAAGTAGTTGATTTTTTTATTAATTTTCAATTTTTTGCTACGAAAATGTCGAAATGTTCGTTTTTTATAAGTTACTAATCTTTTAAATAATATTCTTTGTAACACAATGCCTTATATAAAAATTTTCTTGAATTGATTTCAACTTAAAAGTTAAATAAAAAAATATATAACTTTTATTATCCAAAGTAGCACATGTTTTATAACGTCTGCGATAACATTGTTACAACTTAAATCACAGCATTTTTGTCTAGTCTAATGCTACCGTTACAAACGTCATTGTGACGAAGTTACAAAGTTACAGTTATACTTCATTAAGAATTTAATAAAATAAAATATGTTCGAGAACTAATAACAGCTCGGCAAGTAAGAGCGTTCCAAAAGTGTTCTGTATTAACTTATAGCGATTTCATCTATTTTCATTTTTTACACTATAGTCACTCATAGCAACGGATAAACAACGGTGTTATTTCTTAATAATATTTCTTATATTAAAAGATTGATTTGCAAGATTTAATATTACATTAAAATTACGATTTGTTGGAAGATTAAATATTGGAAAAATGTCTAAAAGAATAAAAGGTAAATTAAAATTATATTAAGATTAATTGATTAATTGAATTATATTAAGATTAATTGAATAAATATTAAGATTAATTGAAATAAATAAAAAGAATAAAAGAAATAGGGTCATATTCAGAACTCGTTTTTATCAATAAAAGCATGCTTTTATCTTTAAAATTCTATACATACGTAATGTAAGTTATAGCATGTTAACGTATTATCATTGTAAGCGCTTTATGAAAATGGTCCACGATATTTTACGTTAGTTATATTTACACGGCAAAAAATGTTTCATGCATAAATATGTAAGGTTATTGGGAAGAAGACACACTTAAACCTTTATTGTTGAATAACTTCCTAATATTATTGAATTAACGAACGAAAAAATATTATTTATATTCTAGTGTTACGTCCAAACTCCGGAAAAATGGATTTAGAGAGAGAGAGAGAGAGAAGGGAGTAGAAAAGGATGGAGCGTGGAAGGACGGTTAGACTCTAGTCTCGCAGGTATTTGCCTGGAAGCAAACATCGGCGAGTCAAACGCACCCTTTTTTTTGGTTGCCCGCTTCGGAATATGGGTCAACGTCTCGTGAAGACGCTATGACGCCTGTTTCCTACGAGCGGTGCAATCGTCGGTCGGAATTTCGAGTCAGGGAAAAATCCCTTTAACTCGGGAATGGAGCACGTGCGAGCTTTGAAAGGGCAAGGTTTAGTGATTACGAGGTTGTATTAGGCGGGTTTTAAAAATAAAATGACGCGAGCGAGAGGAATAATTAATAACATGATTTATTGTAGATAAGAAAAACGCGCGGTTGTATGATAGTCAGTTAATAATAATACTTATTATATTTAATCTGTATATTGCTACAGTTACAGGCGTAACAGTATTATCTGTTCTATAACGGCTATACATGTATTATATTTAATCTGTACATTGTGTTAGAGGGGGGAATCGGATAGGTTTGGTTTAACATATTTCAAGGATGGAAACGGAGGAAGGGGGGAAAAGATTGTTGAAGAATTTGACTGGAACTAGGATTGCATGGGTGGAATTCGGAAGGAATACGGGGAGACTGGAGGTTGAGGTTTGACCAGTGATGGCATTGCGGATTTCTTGAGGATCGAAATAATGAGGGCCGATAGTGTAGGCCCCCTGAGGGATAGATGCGGTTGTAACCCGCGGGAATTGGGAGATGAGTGACTCAAAAGTGTCACTCTCTAGGATCCGGAAGTAGGATCTGGGTGGGGATGGAAGAATTTCCTCTAGGAACGCTGTCCGTGGAGTTCGTCGGAGATGGACTTCTTCTGGGGGAAATTGGATGGGATGATTCGGATGATTGTGGAGGGGTATCGGGAAAGATTCTCTCTGTAAGTGCGTCCGAAAACGCTGGTGAGGGAGTTCGAGGGGGAGGAGAAGGAGGTAGCTGAGGAGGTGAAGGTGTTCGAGGGGGAGGAGGTATAAGCTTAGCCTGATTAGCCGGCGGAGCCGGTGGTGACGAGGATGGTAATGGTGGTAAATGATCCTCGGCCGGACGACTCTTTCCGAGGTATCTCTTGTACTCTTCGTCCAAGAGTTTCCGCGCCTCCCGGTAGGCCCGGCTTCGAAGCCACCCTTTGAAGGGACGGTTCGGACGCGGTACTATAATTTAGTGTAAATTATAGTGGTTGATTCTCTTGATCACACATATATATATATATATATATATGTGTGTGTGTGTATGTGTGGGTGTGTGTGTGTGTGGATGGGACTTACTATTCCTGCGGATGTGGGTGGATCTAGCGGCCTGGTCGGTGGTCCCAGTACCTCACGGAAGGTTGCCACTCGGGTGTGAAGACTCTGGTCACTTTGTTCAAGTCCCAAGGCGATGGGATTTGAATGAGAACGATTTTGGTTGCAAACCGGCAGAGTTTAGTTTTGGAAATTTTAACTGACAATTAACACTGAGAACTGGCAACTGATCACTACTGACTTCTGACTGGTGACTACCGAATGCCGAATGCCTAATGCCGCGTACTACTCAACGACATTTTGTTTACGTTCGCTGTACAGCTCAATGACGTTCCGTTTTGAAATAAATTTTTTTATCTCTACGAGGTCTGGCTATTAAATAACGAGACTGCGCGCGCAGAAGGCGTCCTAGAGGGGTAGGGTGGGAAACGAATGCAGCGTTGGATAGCTGGAAGTGTCTACTATTCCAGTACGAAAACACATTTTTGTCGCAGTAGTAGTATTTTTTCTATAGAGGTTAGAAACGAACTTGTTTTTTTCTCGTGCCGATAACAATGTGTGACGAAAAACACGAGCAACGGATTGTTACGTCCAGACTCCACAGTTCTTTTCTTCGACAAGAAACTTTCGTCATCACAAAGAATTAGTGAGCAGTAAACCACTTGAAATAGGAGCTGAGAGCAATAAATGCTCGTTTTAAACTAACAACCCATCCGGGACTGAACCGTTGGGTTAGATATTTGAACCAAGTATCAAATAGACAAACCTTATCTCGAGGACTATAAAATAAAATAAGAGCTGAGAACAATGAACGCACAGTTTTTAACTAATAAACCATTCGGGACAGAACCGTTGGGTTGATATTGGAACCAAGGGCCAGATAGGCGAAACTTAAGAACAAACAGACTAGGCTTTGTAAAATGAAACAGCGACTGTAAGCAATAAATGACATGTGGCTCGCATCTATTAGACACTCGAGAAATGGTCGATGACGAAAGTTATCTTAGATACATAAACAATATCCCTAATCCTGGATTGGCTCAGCAGTACACGTACTCTGCTCTCGGCGTCACTAACTCGCCATATAAAAGGAGAGGTCCTCCACGAGGAGCGTCACTTCTCCTTCGGAACTCGGCAGTCATTAGTCACTTTTCATTCGATATTCGATATTCGATATTCGGCATTCGGCACTCAGCAGTCACCAGTCAAACTCCATCTCCGAGATTGTCCGCGATACGCGTTAAAGTGACTCGACCGGAGCTTCCACATCCTAGTGCCAACTTTCCGTGGGGTCCTGAGGCTAACGATTGCAACTGCTAGACCTACCCACATCCGCAGAACAACAGTAAGTCCCACACACACACGCACACACACACACACCCGCGGATATATAAGAGAACCAACCACTATAATTTACCTCAAATTATAGTGCCGCGCCAGAACCGTCCTTTCAAAGGGTGGCTACGAAGCCGGGCCTACCGGGAGGCACGGAAACTCTTGGACGAAGAGTTCAAGAGGTATCTCGGGAGCTCACAAGAGCAGAATCGTCCGGCCGAGGGTCGCCTACCACCAGTACCATCCTCGTCACCACCGGCTCCGCCGGCAAATCACCCCGATACCGCTTCCCCAATACCGCTCCCGCCTCAGGGACCTTCGCCTTCACCACCTCAGGCACCTCCTTCTCCTCCCCCTCGAACTCCTTCATCTGCGTTTTCGGACGCACTGACAGAGGGAATATTTCCCGATACTCCACCACAATCATCCGATTCGTTCCACCCAACTCCCCCCAGAGGTCCATCTCCGACGAACTCCACGGACAGCGTGGAGTTCCTAGAGGAAATTCCTCCACCCCCACCTAGATCCTACTTCCGGATCCTGGAGAGTGACACTTTTGAGTCACTCATCTCTCAATTCCCGCGGGTTACTACCGCATCTATCCCTCAGGGGGCCTACACTATCGGCCCTCACTACTTTGATCCCCATGAAATCCGAAATGCCAATACTGGTCGAAGTCCTATCTCAAATATATCCCCGTATTCCTCCCAAATTCTACCCATCCAATATTAGTATCTGTAAGATTTTTTAATAATCTTTTCCCCACTTCCTCCGTTTCCATCCTTGAAGTATGTTAAACCAAACCTATCCGATTTCCCCCCCCCCTTTTTTTATACAATGTATAGTTTAAATATTATAAAAGTGTAACGGTTTTGGAATAGATAATACTGTGTGCCAAAAACCATAATGTATAGAGTAGATGTAATAAATATTATTATATAACCGATTAGCAATAATTGCGTGATTTCCTATTTGTCAATTAGACACAATAAATAATCTTACTGATCATTTGTCTCGCTCTCATCTTCTATTTTTAAAACCCACCTAATAATACAACGACCTCGTAAACACCAAACCTTGCTCTTTCAAAGCTCGCACGTGGTCCATTCCCGAGTTAAAGGGATTTTTCCTTGACTCGAAATTCGGATCGACGATCGCACCGCCCGTAGAAAACAGGCGTCATAGCGTCTTCACGAGACGTTGACCCATATTCCGAAGCGGACAAAAAAAAAGGGTGCGTTCGACTCGCCGGTGTTTGTTTCCAGGCAAATACCTGCGAGACTAGAGTCTGACCGTCCTTCCACGCTCCATCCTTTTCTACTCCCTTCTCTCTCTCTCTAAAAACCCACTTTTCCGGAGTTTGGACGTAACAGGATCAATGTGGACGTAACAGGATCAATGTGAAATTTCTCGTTAAATTAAAAAAAACTCCGACTGAGTGCTATAAGTTGTTGAAAGAGGCCTATGGTGAGAATTCTCTATCTCGTGCGCGTGTTTTCGAATGGTATAAATGGTTTTCTGAAGGCCGAGAGAGCACCGAAGATGACCAACGTCCAGGTCGATCTGTCTCTGTTTCAACTCCGCAAACAGTGACCAAAATCAATGAAATTGTGCGCGGAGATCGTCGTATGAGCATTCGGATGATTGCTGAGACTGTAAACGCCGATAAAGAAACTGTCAGAAAAATTTTACATGACGAATTAAACATGAAGAAAGTCTGTGCGAAGTTGGTCCCAAAAAATTTGACCCCTGACCAAAAGCTCGTCCGTCAACAGATCTGCTCAGATTTTCTTGAGAGGTTAGATGAAGAGCCTGAATTGATGGAAAACATCATCACTTGCGATGAAACCTGGATATTCCAATACGATGTTGAAACTAAGCGGCAATCCATGCACTGGAAAACTCCTGCATCGCCAAGAATGAAAAAAGCAAGGATGTCGAAATCAAAATTTAAAGCCATGCTAATCGTTTTTTTCGACATCAACGGCATCGTGATGACTGAATGGGTTCCAGAGGGTCAAACTGTAAACCAAACTTACTATTTGACAGTTTTGGCAACACTGCGAGAGCGAGTTCGTAAGAAACGGCCGGAGTTGTGGAAAAACAAGTCGTGGATCTTACACCAGGACAACGCACCTGCCCATAACGCGCTGTCTGTGAAGCGTTATTTAGCCGCTAGAGGCACTCCAGTGCTCGAACACGCGCCGTACTCGCCTGATTTAGCACCCTGTGACTTTTTCCTGTTTCCGAAGATCAAGTCTGCCTTAAAAGGAACCCGGTTCGAGTCGATGGAAAAGGTGAAGCGAAAATCGGCGGAGCTCCTAAATGCTCTTACAAAAGAAGACTTCCAGCATTGCTTTGACCAATGGAAAAAACGAATGGAACGGTGTGTGGCGAGGGGAGGGGAATACATTGAAGAGAAGCATTCAATTGTAGAATAATTTTTAAAATAAAACTCTTTTTCATAAGCAGTCTCGTTATTTAATAGCCAGACCTGGTATAATGAACAATAACTTTCGATATTAAAGTTTTTGCAATATTGTTTATCCAGATACGGTGAACATTGAGGGTATCGATGTATCACACACCGTTCCATTCGTTTTTTCCATTGGTCAAAGCAATGCTGGAAGTCTTCTTTTGTAAGAGCATT